CATGGCAGTGGTCCCCCTCCCCTCCAGTCCCACCATCCCTGCAGCAGGACCCCTGCATGTCGTCCCCCCAACCTGCCCAACAGGGACCCCCAGGACCCCGCAAGCAGGATGACATGTAGTACCCACAGGGAAGACATTCACGGCAAAGCCAAGTGCCTATTTTGGAGGAGGAGGGGAGGACATTACCCGACAGCGGCATCACCGTGAGCTGCCGGATAAAGGAAGCATCCAAAATAGCTGCTCTTAATTATATCCTTGCTGACGAGCGCCATGCAAACAACGGGTGCTGCAAGCACTCGCTGCACGAGGAGACCTGGCATGAGTGGTCTTATTCCTTGCAGTGGGGATGGGGTCCGCACCGCGGGGACCCCACAGGGGTGGCCAGAGCAGCCCCGGCTGGGTCCGGTGACGATGGGGATGCCGGGGAGCCGGTCCTTGCCACTGTCAGACAGCGAAAGGCTTGTACTCCTGCAGCCAAGGTCGTGTCAGGCACTGAGGCCGACATGATGTTCAGATGCTAATGAAGCCGTTATCATCTTCTGATCGATTTTGACTGTATAAATAATGCACCGGGAAGCCTGCGGGCTGCTGGCTGCATGGGAAGGGATTGCCTGGGGCAAAGAAGTGGCAGGGATGGGATGGACCCATTGCAGCCCAGTGCCCACCACAGCTAGAAAACAACTGCCTGTCACAGCTAGACACACACTGCCCACCACAGCTGGACACTCCAGTGCCCACCACAGCTGGACACCCTATCGCCCACCACAGCTGGATAACCCAGTGCCCATCACAGCTGGACACCCTATCACCCATCACAGCTGGACAGCCATTCCCACCACATCTGGAGACCCACAGCTGGGTGCCCTGGTGCCCATCACAAGCCATTCCCCAAATCCCAAGGCACTTTTTGGGGGATGCTGGCCCTGTGCCCAGCACACCTCCTGGTGCTCCGGACACCCAACCCTCGCGCAGAGCCTTCCCTAGGGAGCAGAGAAATCTGCACTTCAAAATCGATGGCTGTGGCAGCCTGAGTCACGGTGCTGCAGCAGCAGCAGGGCTGTCCCCTGGGGCCAGGATGAAGCAACTCAAATGCAGCTTTCAAGAGTCAGCGGAGACTCCTCTATGACACAGGGCCTCCCCCAGCCCTGGTTTGGGGCTCAGCCATGCAGCCCCCTGGCTCTGCAGACACTCCCTCCCAGTGTGGGGTCCCTGCCTGTGAAGTCTCAGCAGCCTCCTGCCCGCTCCGGGCTGCCTGCCAACCCACTGACCCC